ATGATGGTGATGATGATGATGATGATGATGGTGATGATGGTGGTGGTGGTGATGATGATGGTGATGATGGTGATGGTGATGATGATGATGGTGGTGATGATGATGATGGTGGTGATGATGGTGATGATGATGGTGGTGATGATGATGATGATGGTGGTGATGATGATGGTGATGATGGTGATGATGGTGATGATGATGGTGATGATGATGGTGATGATGATGGTGATGATGATGGTGGTGATGATGATGGTGATGATGATGGTGGTGGTGGTGATGGTGGAGGTGGTGAAGTTGATGAAGATAACAGCACTGACATTTCCTAACAAAATATTACTCATGATTGTTATCAAATATAACAGCTGTATTAGCAGTTGCTCTGAGGCCATTATGAAACAATATACAGCAGAAGCTTTGGATTGATAAAGAAGTATACATTTAATTCGACTGTTCTATGCTCATTTAAGAACCAATTCAGCTTTTCTGTGCAGCAGCTCATTTCATAACGGATCTTTCATTTCCCCCCTTCTTCCTCTAAGCTAAGAAATTGAAAAATGAGTAATACGGTGTTAAGCAGCTATAGCATTGGTTTTGACAAAGCTGCGTCATCCCCACTCCTAGGGCCCACCCTTCTTCTGGAGTCAGGCCGTCAGTGGGCTTCACCAACACCACATCTATTGAAAAGCACCAAATCCTCCTTGTGCTTCCTTCTTTACAGCCTGGTTCTCACATGCCTATGAGGCGATTTTAAATATCGTGGCATGGGTGAAGTGTACCCTAGTCCTTAAACTGACATCCTTGCTTTTTATATAGGTATGTACACACATGCGCATCAGTGTAGGCAGGGGATGATGGCGTGTGATAATAATGACTGCTACAAATGACCTTATTAGTCTTCATCTTCTGGACATAGTTGTGGGTGCTGAATGTCCCCTCACTTATACAGTGGTGGACAGGAGATGTCCCCTCACAAACGCAATGGTCGACAATGAGTCGTTCTTAGCAGCAGGCATGATTTTCATCCTTAGAAACAAGGATCATTGCTCCGGTTTGTGTTAATTTCCGCAGCAGCTCTCACAGTATCAAAATAACCAAACCTGCTGAATTTACAGAAGCCCTCTGGACATCTCCACCGGGGGGTACCCTCTGTGCCCTCTCCTTTAAAGCCTGAGCTGCCTAAAATGTAATTTTTATCAATAACCAAGAAGCTCATAATATCACAGCTGCATAGAAATCTTCATGCTGTGAAATCTAATTCCTTCGATAACATGAATCCATCACTCACACTGGCTCTTCCACAAACGCGATAAAACTTCCAAACCCATAGATTTGTCTCCAACGCAAACAACACAAAGGCCCTTCAGCCAATACAGGACCCCTCTGATCCTGTACCGACTGACTATCCCTCCAGCTCGCCTTTGTTCTTCTGGACAGCCGCCCGCAGGGAGCCAGCGCCTTCACTCGCGGCCTCATCAATACCGAAATCCCAGGGAACAAGTGACACCGAGAAGCTGTAATCAATAGTTCCCAGTGCGTTTTCCTCTTGTGGTCAATGGTTCAGCGCCACTGTCAGACCTGACACTTAGAACATGATACTAAATCTTTATCAACAGCCACCAGGGTGACTGACGGGCAGGACGCGGGGGTCATTAGTGCTCACGGCGATCTGTGAATGAACTACCTCCGGAATGTGCTTGTTTAGAAGAAGGTGGGGAGCATGCAAAGTATTGATTGCCTCTGAGCTGCATTTAGTGCGCCCGACGGAGGAAGAAGTGGAAGGCGTTTTGTGCTGGGAAGCTTGGTGGGAGTGCTCCCTCTGAAGTGTGAGAAATGGGAGTGCTCTCAGGCCACGTAGTCGGGGAGAAACTTCCAGAAGTCAGCCTGCTGTGAGTTCTTTAAGGAGAACTTGGAAAGCCTGAAGTCTTCAGACGGGAGGTACACGTTGGGCATGCCGCCGGGAGGATTCAATCCCTGGAGAAGACTGTTGACCGCTGAGTTGGAGCTGACCCACAGCTGACCCTCCAGTGACCCTTTCAGAGGCAGGTCAGCACCTACGAGGAGACAGCCCATCATCTTCCTGTGAAGCAGCTGGTGGATTCAGACCGTATACTCTTGTGTTGGCCTCACAATTCCTACCACGAGGCTACCAGAACTCCCTAAAAATGGAGGGTCAGGGAAAGGAGGGAGAGAGAAAACGAGGAAGCCCTCAGGGAGACGAATGACAACTGCGGGAACCCTGGGCGTGAGCGGGGCCGACTGAGGGGCCAGGCCTGGACAGGACAGGGCTCCAGGCTGAGGCTCACGGGGTCGCTGTGGGGGGCTGACTCCTTGCCACAACACGAGGCGGAAGACGAGGATGATGAAGATGAGGAGGTGGGGAATTCCTGCAGTGACACGTGCTCATCCTGGACGGCGGAGCCACACCCCACGCCGCTGTCGTTGAGTCATTTCTGAAACATGAGGACCCCCTGTGTTCCAGAACTGGGTGGGGCTCGGGGGGCCTTGCTCCCAGGGTGCTGCTGGGAGGCTGGATCCACAAGGCCCAGGGGAGCTGTGGAGAGGAGCCCACGGGAACCTCCTGGAGACCCTCAAGTCCACACAGCTGACAGCAAATCCAGATCATGAGCTGAATGTGCTGACGTGGACACAAGTCCTTGGGCGACAGTGCCGGGAGATGCCGGTCCTCATTCCCGGACCTCCCTCTCCGCATTCTGGCCCTCCAGTGCCTGGCCGTGAGAGCGAGGCTGGGTGGACATCGTCCACCTTGGAGCAGACGGGTGTCCTCTGGCCGAGGAGGAGCCTGTAGTTGGCTCTGACGCCGAGATGTCACTGAGAACTGCCCAGTGTCGTGGACCATGGGCCCTTTCGCCGTCCATTGATTCACTTATCTTTTCTTTCTAATAGATTATTTCTTCTTTTTGGCTTTTAAACGTTTCCACTGACTCAAGAGAGGTCGTGGGTGGCACAAATGGTTAAGGATTCAACCAGCAACTGAAAGATTGGCAGTTCAAACCCACCCAAGTGAAAGCATAAAAGAAAAGCCTGGTAATCCATTCTGAAAACCAGCCCCTCACACCCCACAGCATCATCCCCAGGGGACAGGAGCTTATTAAGGACCGGGCTGCTAACTGACAGAGTGGCAGTTCGAACCCACCAGGCTCTCAGCTGGAGAGAGGTAGGCAGTCTTCCCGCTAAGACTTACAGCCTTGGAGACCCGAGGGGGGCCATCAAGGTGTAGCTGACTCAATGACACTGATCGCCTCTGAAAATCCTGGGGGGCACAGTGACTCCGACACGCAACATACAGGGCGCTGGGTGCAACTGACTCAGAGGCGACTGGCATTGACGTAACAGACACGTTACCGCAGGCAAACATTCAACCAGCGGTACCATTTTAACCACTTGCAGGTGGACAACTCAGTGTCATGAATCCATTCACCACGCTGTGTCTCCGCCAGCACTGTGATCCGTTCTCCCTTCACAGCCTAGCCCTGTAAGCGATGCTCCTGTCTCCCCTCTCCCCCCTCCCAGCCCACGGCCACCAGGGGTCCGTCTCCTAACTCTGCACACTTGCCTATTCTGGATGCTGCACAGCTGGGGACACACTGGTCCTCTTGTCTCATTTGCATCACGTTTTCAAGGTTGCATGTTATAGCCTGGATCAGGCTCTGCTTCTCTTTACAGCCAAGCAATACTCTATTGCGTGGATGGACCAGCTGTCTTTATCTGTCATCTGTTGTGGACACCAGGGACGCTCCCTTTTCACGGCGGAGTAGTTCTCCACTGTACAGGAGGAACATGCTGTGCTTATCTGTCAGGGTGGGGGACACTGGGCTCTCTAAAGAGGTTCTGAACTGGGTTGCCAGCGTGCACCCCTTTCCTGCATCCTGTGGCCTCTGCTGCCCTGGGGTGCTGCTCCCAGTGCCTTCATTCTAGTGCTGTCAGGAGGGAGGAACAACAGGGTCCCCACGTCTTCAGAAACACTGTCCTGTATGTTCTAGTCTCACCTCAGTGACACACACCTGTCCCTGCTGGAGATGCCCTGGGTCCTGCGGACGCCACTGCCATGCTCGGCCCCTCCTGTGACCCTTCATGCCCGAGTCCTCGGCTGCAGGTAGCTGGGCCGCTGGAGGCAGCGCTGGACCATTATCCCCACAAGCCCCCCCAGAAGTGTCCACCGCACGTGGCAGGCTTTGACTGGTATCACAGCCCTCCCCTAGCCGTGTCGTGTGGGTGCACAAGAGAGAGAGAGTAGACAACGGGCTCCTTGTGTGATCGGTGGGGTGACAGACTCCAGTGACATCTCTGTGATCTCAGGAGCTTCTTGGGGCAGTGGGCACCTCCTCACCGTCTGTGCCAGGAAGATACGGTCCCTCACGACACCTCGAGAAGCAGCCAGGACAGAGGAGCTGACCCGTCCCCGCCCCTCCCAGCCCACCGCGTGCAGTGCAGACACCTCATCACATGGCGTGCCCCCCTCTGAATACCCTGATGCCCACAGTGGCAGCGGAGACTCACTGGGTTGCTTCTCATGGCGCCGCCCACCGCCCGCGCAGCTCTGGGGTTGCCAGCCAGGATGGCTAGCTGCTGATAAGAGACCACTTCTCCGATGTCCACAGCCGCCAGTAGCTTCCACAAAACCCTCCTGGTGAAGGAGTCTGGGAGGAGAGAAGAAGGGCGGGGATTTGTACCTCTGGCTCCAACAGCTCTTGAGGAATTGAAGTGCACCCACTAGAACAGAGGGGTTACACTCAGTTAAAACATAGCACCTGCTCCTTGTTGTCACGCTGCTAAGAGGAGGAAGGGGTGGCCAGCCCCTCCAGGCCTGTGGTGTGGCGGTCTCCTCCCACTCCGGACAGTCCACGCAGGAGGCCCACAGATCAGCATGACACAGTGCAGAAGCATCGCCCCTACTATTCCCTACTTCCACCTCTGGACCTGCCAGTCCATGGGGCTGTGTCCAGTCTCTCACGGACAGGTAGGGCTGCCATGCGCGGAGGACAGCAGCCCCAGAGGTTGCTCAATGTGTCAGTGTCACAGCACATGGGGGCTGGCGGCACCCTGGCTGCAGGTGCTCCAAGGTGCAGGGCTGCAAAGAAAAAGCCATCCCTGTGCGTGCAATCTGAGGACCCCCTCAACACTGCTCAGGCTTGACCTGCACGGGGTGAATGACCACACACAGGGGGACAAGCCCTGCGCTCAGCATAGTCTGCGACGGGTCTGAAGGCGACAAACTGAACCTGGGAGCTGCACCTCCATGCTGGGTGTGCCAGCCCTGGTCAGGGGTGAGGACAGGGCTCCGAGGGCACTAGGGTGACACTAGGGTCTGTGGTGACCCAGGGCCACTCGGAGCTTCACCTGTTCTCAGCATGTCCTCGCCCTTCCTGGAAGGGGCCAGTTCTCACCGGCGAGGAAGGGAGAGAAATCTGTTTAGTCTTTATTATAACATTAAGCAAATTAAACATCAGCATAATCCAGGTGATACTAGAAAAGGGTCATCGAAGAAATTAACTTTGTTGTTCATTAATTTACATGGATTATCAGAGGGCAAGGAGCTGGCAAACGGGCTCTCGTTTTTTATGATATAATTTCAAAGTGTGCACCGTTTGTGGCAGGAGGGTGACTTTGGGGTTAATCAGACTGATTTGTCCTTTTAATTGCTTTCTATTCAAAGAAAATTCATTAGATAATGTTCTCTTCAAAATTCATGAATCAATTTAACTGAAGAAACCACATTAGCAGCTTGGTTCATTAGCACGTGTGCGTCCGGGCTGGATGCTGGGGGGCTGGTGGGCACTGGCGGTGTTTACCGAACCTTCCCGGCACGGGGCTGGCGTTACAGTAATCATCACCAATGGCTGCCATCTTCCCATTCTCTCAGCCAACTGGGAGAGACTGGCCAGGCCTGAGGAGAACCTGGTGGAAAGCGGCTTTGGAGGGACGCGGGGCCGGAGAGAAACAACGGGGCCATGTGAGGACGTGTGCGGGCAGAGGGTGACCACCTACCCATCTCCGGGAGGACACAGGTATTAATTGTGCTCTGACCTGGCAAGAGATATTGGCTAAGTGTTCCAGGAGAGAGAGCCTTTTTCCCCTGGAGCAGAGCAGAAAGTCCTGTGTGCCAAGCGGACACGGGGTACGTCTATCAGGAGCCAGACCACACATCCCCAAAACGCCCCCAGTGAGCACCCCGCCTCTGGAGTGTGAGGTGCACGGAAGGGCGGTTCACCATCCTGGTCACCTTTTTGTGAGGACTCACACTTCCACCTGCTGCGTGCTGGGTACTCGACCAGTGAGGTTCCTTCTAGAAACCCAGTCTTGCTCTGTGAGGACCAGGAGCTCCGCAAGGCCAGGCCGCTGCCAGGGCTGGTGCCCAGGCCCCAGGGAAGCTCCCTGAACCCCCAGGCAGAGGTGGGGCTGGCCTTGCGCCAGTTTCCTGGGGGTCAGTATTCCACTTTCTGAAATATATCAAGTCTGCTCATAAGAATTATCATGTGTCTCTAGGGAAAGACATTTTCTGGATGTGGAAGGGATTCTCTGTCTCCTGGAGCTGGGCAGTCCCAGGAAGCTATCGTGAGAAGGCACTCTTCTTTTCTTAGAGTGGGTCCTCAGAGGGCAGCATGGGGCCAGGGCTAGGGAACTACCACTGCACCCCACCTTCCAGAGCACGCAACCTTGCACCCTGGCCTGCTCATAATTGTCTCACTTCCTGCCTTCCCAGTGAGACTCGGTGAGGAATAAGGCATCGCTGCCCTTAGGGTTCCCTGGATCCTGGCTGGCAGGAGCCCTGGGGGCTTCTAGGGGGTGAATTACTCTCCTGTGATGCTGGGTTCTGACATCATGCATTTTAAAAAGCCCACAGAACTTCACAGCATGTAGCCTGAACTTCAATGAAAAATTAAAAGTGAAAGCAGAAGGAAGACATTTGGTGTGAGGTCTGGGCTCTTGGGCGGGTGGACAGCTCAGGGCAGGAGGATCTGACTGGACTGCAGACACAAGGATGTCCTCAGGGAGGGTGGGAAGGTGGCCGGGCCACTGGCACTGCCAAGCAGCTGTGCTCTGATGGTTAAAGTTGTTCTGGCAGGGGAGGGGCCCGGCTAACAGGCCACGGTGCTGCCCCACTGGCTGTAACTGAACGAGAGGTGATGGTGTTCCACTGCTGGCTGTGACCGGATGAGAGGAGACAATGACCAGACAAGAGGTGACGGTGCTCCACCACCCACTGTGACCAGACAAGCGGATGTGACGGGGGAGCTGGATGTCCACCTAGGAGTAATGGTCAGGCAAAGGGAGGGGCTGGGAGGGTCCACCTGGTGATGGATTAGGGTTCCAGACTGCTGGGCTCATCAGCGTGAACTCATAGCGAGCTTAATGCAGACACTGTAAAAGCCCTGAGTGAGAGACAATATCCACGGGGAGAGGATCCGCGCAACAGCACTAAGAAGCGACAACTAAGACTGGGGCTAGTGGGAACCCAAATGACAGGGAGGGCACAGGGAAAGGTGACTGAAATGTAGTAGTTGTTGTTGTTATGTGCCGTCGAGTCGCTTGAGACTCATAGCGACCCTATGTACAACAGCCCTAAACCCTGTTCTGTCCCATGCCAATCTCATTGCCTCTGACACACCCATCCTGATTACCCCAGTCACTGAATCAATCCACCTCATAGAGGGCCTTCCTCTCCTGCGCTGTCCCTCCACCCTCCCAAGCATGACGTCCCTCTCCAAGGACCGGTCCCTCCTTACAACATGACCAAAGTATGTTAGACGGAGCCTCAGAATCCTTGCCTCCAAGGAGCCTCCCGGTTTAACCCTCTCCAGGATGAGTCTGTTTGTTTTCCTAGCAGTCCTCAATACTCTTCTCCAGCACCACAGGCTAACAACAACATATGTGTGTGTGTGTGTGTGTGTGTGTGTGTGTGTGTGTGTGTGTGTGTATAAAGGTAATCTCTCTTTCTCTCTCCCTCTCCCTCTCCTTCGCTGTTAGTGGAGGGGCTCAGAGCTGCAGGATGCCACCAGCAGCAATGCACTGAGTACCTAGGGCTTGTTCTCATTTTCCAGAGAAACCAGAATTCTGCTGAGAAAGGGTTGATTTCAGGACAATGGTGAAGTCCAGGTGAGTCTGGAGCACCTGAAAATAAGAAGCTGCATTCCCGGAACCAAACACCAGACAAGCCAAACGATGGGTATGTCACAGAGACTAAAGAGCCAAACTAAAAATTAACCAACGGTCCAAGCTGGAGAAACAGAACAAAAACTTAGAGTAGCATCAAGTTATTACAAAAGTGCCAATTCATTTCACGATACAAAGATATGACTGAATACATGAGAAGAGAAACAGGACAGTTGGCCTGAGAGAGGATAATGCTTCAGGCTGTTGAGGGCGTGCTGAGAAGAGTGATCTCTGTCCAGAGAGCTCACTTTGGAAAGGGTGTATGTGGGCTGGACAGTGGGGACACTGGCAAACACACCTGCACAGGTGGTCAGGCCAGTATCAGCAGTGATAAATCACACAGGGAGTGAATCCCGCTGACATGACATGATCATGATGTGACGGGAACGGTGGGCTTCCTTCCTCAAGCCCAGCTAATCATGAGGAAAGAGCACACACATCCCAACAGGTCTCTCTAAAGACCTGTCCAGTCCTCCTCAAAATGGGCAAGGCCATGAAAAACAAGGGGAATGGAAGAAATTGTAACTTCTACGAGGGGCCTTACAAGATGGGTGACTGTATACAATGTGGTCCTGGACGTGATCCTTAGGCAGGAAGCGAACATCAAGTGAAAACCAGGGAAATGTGACAAAGGTATGGAATTAGTGAACCACACAGTATCAGTAATGGGAACAAATAATCCAATATTGGTGGAAAATGTCAACACCAGAGAAAACTGCGTTTGGGCTATATGGGGAACCTCTATTCTCTTCCATTGTTTTTTTCTCTGCAAATTTGTAACATTAAAAAAAAAAGAAGCCTATTAGGAAATTAATAAATAGTGCTAATTTTATTAACATTTAATTTTAAAAAACCCCACAGGATTTTATCAACTAATGCAGGAAAAAGTCAATAAACTTTAACATTCATTCATGATTAGAAACTCTCAGTTTGGAAGAGAAAGTTACAGCCTAAAATATAAAAATTCTCTAATACAGGAACCTTTAGTTGTCTTGTCTGATGATCGCTGCTTTATTAATCCAAAGGCCACACCTCTCAGGCAGTTCAAATTCACCAGTGGCTCCACGGGAGAAAAGCGGGCAATCTCTCCCAGTGCGACAGCCCCAGAAACCCAACGCAAGGTCGGCTGTTCATCGTTCACTTGATGGCAGTGGGCTCGGGTGTTTTCACTTTTTACTCTCTCTCATAAGCATGGTAAAAAGATGAATACTTTCCCCTCAATACTGGGAACAAAGACTACCCGTTCATTCTCACAAGATTCAACATCACGGCAGAAGTCCTCATTATTACAAGAAAGCAAATTAAAAAAATAAGTTAAAATCCTTACTTGGAAAGCAAGCAAGCAAACTTAACTTATTCATAGACAACATGATTATGCATAGAGAATCACCTAGCAGTCTACAAATCCGTCTTAGAAGTGACTTAATCAAGGTCCCCGCGTACAATCAGCGCACAAAGTCACTCATTTGCGTGACGGGTCACGTGG